GGGTTCTTCAGAGAAACAGAACCAATAGGATATGTGTATATACAGAAAGAGATTTATGTTATGGAATTGACTTATATAATTGTGGAGACTTGGGAAGTCCAAAATCAGATGGGGAGTCTGGCAGGCTAGAGACTCGGGAGAAAGCTGCAGTTGAAGTCCAGAGGCAGCCTGCTGGTGAACAAGGAAGAGCCCATGTTGCAGATAAAATCTGAAGCAATCTGCTTGCAAGATTTCTTTCTCTGGTGCAGCCAGCCTTTTGTTCTATGGACTTTAACTGATTGAATGAGGCACACACAAATTATGGAGGCTAATCTGATATTTTCCTCGGAGTCCATCAATTTAAATGCAAATCTCATCCAAAGACACTCTCACAGAAACATCCAGAATAATGTTTGACCAAACCATAGCCCTAGCCAAGTTGACACATAAAATTAACTATCATAGTGCATAAACATTTAGTATTATTAGACTTATTAACAAATTGCCCCCTTTATGAAATGACAATCTTTATCCTTCATAATATTCTTAGCTGTGAAATCTATTTTGTCTAATATTGGTATAGCCATTCAAGCTTTCTTGTGATTAATGTTAGCATGTAGATTTATATTTGCATCTTTATAATTAAAGTACATTTCTTATAGGTAGCATATAATAAATAATTTTAATCCAGTTTTATAATCTGTACCTTCTAATTGGGGAATTTAGACATTGAGAGGTTGCACTGGGGTGTGCAACATGCATCTTTGACCTGCTGTGGTTTCCCTTCAGGTGATATTACCCTGTTTGACCTGTAGCATGGGAGACTTACAATAGGATATTTCCATTGCTCCGCTCCCAACCTATGTATTTTGTCATTATACATTTTACTTTTATGTGTTGTAAACCCCACACTTTATAATTTCTAATGAAATGGTCAGTTATCTCTTATGTAGATTCAAAGAGTAAGAAAAAGACATTAGGTCAGATGATATAGCTCAGTGGTACAGCACTTCCCTGGCATGTGCAAAGGTCTAAGTTCAATCGCCAACACAGTCCAAAAAAAAAAAAAAACCCATATTATTTATCCATGTAACTGCCATTTCCAGTGTTCTTAATTCCTTTAAATAAGTTCATATTACACATCTGATATCATTGTTGTTTTGCCTGGAAGACTTTCTTCTGCATTTATTTAGTATGGATCTGGTGATAACACATTCATTCAACTTTCAATTTCTGTATGTCTGAAAAAAACTCTATTTGCCTTCACTTTTTTATTATTTAATTGATTCATAGCTTTATTGAATACAATTCATATACCATATAATTCATCCATTTAAATCATACAATTCAGTGGCTTTTAGTACTCAGAATGGTGTAACCATCACTGTAATGAAATTTAGGATATTTTTATTCCCCTAAAGCAAACTTCCATTCCTTAGCCATCACCTCTCTAATTCTCTAATTTTACTCAATGCAAGGCAACAATTAATCTGCTTCTGTCTCTGTAGTTAATTTGCCTATTCTGGGCATTTCATATAAATGCAATCACAAAATATGTTTTCTTTGTAACTTGCTTCTTTCACTTTCAAATACTGTATTCAAAGTTCATCCCTATTACATGCAGCATGTATTACTAACTACTTCCTTTCCGTCTCCTGCCTAATAATTTTCTGTAGTAAAAATGTAATTAATGTAGTAAAAATGGTCATTTAGTTAGAAATTTTAAAAAAATATTTATTTTTTAGATATAGGTGGACACAATATCTTTATTTTATTTTATGTGGTGCTGAGGATCCAACCCAGTGCCTCACTCATGCGAGGCGAGCACTCTATCTCCGGGCCACAATCCCAGCCCCATAGATAGAAATTTTTATTATAAATAATACGGCCATGAACATTCATGAAATGTAATGTTTTAGGTTTTGTGTGGATACATTTCATTTCTCTTTGGTGTATACCTAGGAGTAGAATCACAGGGTCATAAGGTAACTTTACACACAAACTTTGGAGAAACTGCCAGAATGTTTTCCAAAGTGGCTGCTCCATTTTATATTCCTACTGGCAATGTGCAACAGCTCCAGTTTCTTCACATTCTTGTTATTGTTCTTTCTTAATACAGTAATCCATATGGGCAAGAAGTGATAATCTGTTATAGAGTTTTGTTGTTGTTTTTGTACCAGGGATTGAACCCAGGGGTGCTTAACCACTGAGCTACATCCCCAGCCCTTTTTAAATTTTTGAGACAGTGTCTCGCTAAGTTGCTGAGGCTAGCCTTGAATTTGTGATCCTCCTGCCTCAACCTCTTGAGTCACCGTCATTATAGGTGTGTACCACCATGTCCAGCTTCCCCATGTCCAGCTTCATTATAGTTTTGATTTTCATTTCCTGATGGCTAATGATGAGAATTTTTTGTGTGCTTATTGGTCATTTGTACATTCTTTGGAAAGCTATCTTTTCAGATCGTTCATCCATTTTTAAATTGGGCTAGCTGTTTTTTTATTATTGACTTGTAAGTTTCTTTATGATTTTTGGATACAAGTTCCTTATCTCATGATTTGAAAAATTTTCTTCCATTCTGTAATTTTCACCTTCTTGAAGGAATCATTAAGGCACAAATGGTTTAAAAAAAAGAATTTGATGAATACTATTTATTTATACCTTTGTTACTGATAGTTTTGGAATCATTTCTAAGAATCTATTGCTTAAGGTCAGAAAGATTTACACCTATCTATTTTAATAAGAGTTATATATGGTTTTGACTTTGATCCATTTTGAGTTAGTTTTTATATATTGAGGTAGGGGTTTAAATCCATTCTTTAGTAAGTGGTTATACAGTTTTCTAGTACCTTCTATTGAAAAGACCATTATATTTCCCATTAATCGCCTTGACACATTTAAAGAAATAAACAAGCACTTATTGCTGAACTCCCAATTCTATTCCACGGGTCTCTGTCCATCCTCATACCAGCACTACCCTGTCTTGGTTACTGGGGTCTTCATTGTAAATTTAGAGATCAGAAACTGAATTCTCCAACTTTGTTCTTTTTCAAGATTGATTTTCTATTTTGCCCTGTTTTTGAAAGATATTTTTTCCAAGATATAAAATTCTAGATTTATCTTTTTAATTTTTTGCAGTGTCATGGATCAAACCCAGAGCCTCATGGCTTTACTACTGAGCTACATCCCCAGCCTTTTAATTAGAAAAAAAAAAATCATTATAGTTGCTCTGCTCCTTTCTGGGTTACACTGTTCCTTAAAAGAAGCCTGCTGTCATCCTTTGTCATCCTTGTCTTAGCTTCTCTATATGTAATGTGTCTTTATCTGGCTGCCTATAAAATCAATCATTAGTCTTGAGAGATTATGATGTGCCTAGATCCCCCTACCCCCCACCCCCCTCCTTCTTCTTCTACTACTACTAGGATTGAACTCAGGGGCACTCAGCCACTGAGCCACATCCCCAGCCCTATTGTATATTATTTAGAGACAGGGTCTCACTGAGTTGCTAAGTGCCTTGGTTTTGCTGAGGCTGCCTTGGTTTTGCTGAGGCTGGTTTTGAACTCGCAATCCACCTGCCTCAGCCTCCCAAGCTGCGGGAATTACAGGTGTGTGCCACTGCAGCCAGCTCTTTATGGTTCTTAAGTGTAGTGTTTATTGAACAATTTATATCTGTACTTTGATAGTTTTTATAAAATCTGAACAAATGGGCTATTTTTTAAAATATTTTTTTCTATCTCCCCTCTTATCTCCTCCTAGAACTCGAGTTAACACAATATTATGCTGCCTGAATTTGTCACATAATTCACTATTGATTTTTTTCACTTAACTTTTTTTGTTTCTTTCTTAATAGTGTATAATGTTGTATTTTCAAATTCACAAATCTTTTTTACAGTTTTGTCATCTGACATTATTACTATCCAACATTTTTTATTTTACACAACTTGTTTTCAATTTCATTTCTTTGGAAATTCACTTTGGGTTGCAAAAAAAAAACTTCCATGTCTCACCTTGTGACTACATGAGCTATATTTACAATAAACACTTAATATGCTTGCTTGCTATTTCTAATATCTATGGGAATTTCAATGTATTAGGTATTTCTCATTTTTAAATGCATTTCCAGCTTCTTTGCAGATTGGTAATTTTTTATTGAATGTGAAACACTATGAAATTACCTGTTGAATACTGTATACTTTTTATATTATTATAATACAATTATTAGAAACAATTTGATTCTGTCAGTTCATGTTTTTAAGGTTTGTTAGACAGGACTGAAGCAGCTCTTAACCTAGGGCAAATCATTCCCTGCTCCTAGGGAAACACATTTTGTGTAACCTTCCGAAGACCCATGAATGTGAGGCCCCGTGTGAATATGGGGCACCACTCATCTTTTCAAGGACTCTCAGCTCCATCTTCTTAACTCAGGGAATTCACCAAGCTCAGCCTGGGTTCCCTGATACTGCACTGCAACCTGGAAGCTTTCAAGGCAGGAATCTAAGGCAATCACTGGCTCATCTTGTCTGATTCCCATCCCTCACAGTACTTTGTTGCCTAATGTCAATGTCTTGAAAACCATTGTTCATGTATTTTTGTTTATTTCAAGTGAAAGGAAGCAAATTCAGTGCTTGCTATTCCAGATAGTTTTAAACTGTTAATTTGTCTGTAAGTTTCTCAGTGATTTGTTTACCCACACAGGTAAAACTCCTTCTCCTCATAGGCCAGTCCACTTCAGAATACTTCTGGAAACTAGTTCCTCATATCCTTGTAGCACATTATAGCTAACATTGTAATTTCATGTATCACTTATGTTGTTTTTTTTTAGGGGTGTCGGGGGGAAATATGACCTGTGTCATACTGCTAATAGGAAACTTATCTTCACATGAAAAGTGGTGCCTAGCACAAAATCCATTGAAAATTCTTAAGGTCAACTTTTTTTCTTCTTCTTCTTCTTTTTTTAATGGATTCAAATCTTTACATGTAACAATAGAAGTCTCATCCAGGACTTTAAGCATGAATTTACTCACTGTGGTGTGCTCTGGTACTGCTCCTCTCTACCAGGTTGATATCACACTGGGCTGAACTGGTTCTTTGAAGGTGGCCCTTCCTTACAGCAGAGAGGAGAGAAACACAAATGAAAAATGGGTAACTGAAAAGCATGTCAGAAGAACTAGAAAGGAAGTTTAAACTTGAATATTTGGAGGTTTATTTTAACTCCACAACTACCTGAAACCATCAGGACTGCCCTAAAATAGTGCTGCCATATTTAACAAATGCACCAGCGTGGAAGGTCATCTGAAGGGCAGTCAGGGGTGGTGATGCCATTTAGCCTTCTTCCTTTATGGTAGCATAGCTACTACATTTTAGGGTAACAGGAATATTTTTGTGCCTTTTCAAGAGGTTAGTTTCCACTATTAGTTAGACCCTCATCTGACATAGGGTGGTTTTAGTGAACTATTCTATTAATGGCATTTTAAAAATTCATTTTGGACCTTGTTTTTTTTAACATTTTTTTTTTTTAGTTGTCAATGGGTCTTTATTTTATTTATTTATATGCGGTGCTGAGAATTGGACCCAGTGCCTCACACATGCAAGGCAAGTGCTCTGCCACTGAGCCCCAGCTCCAGCCCCCATTTTGGACCTTCTTTAAGGTTATAGCTTATCAGGGTTTTTTTTTTTTTTTTTTTTTTGGTTTTTTTTTTTTTTGGTCATCTGACCAACGAATATAGGTTAGAATTTATGTGATCATGACAGATTTTTATGAAAAACTACTTGAAATATTAAATAAAAATTTGGAATGTAAAGTTGCTTTAATTTTTTCAATATGTCAATACTCAGAGTATTTACTTACATTAATGAAAATGAATTCAAAACCATCTTACCTTAGCAAAATGGCATATATTTTCTCAATGTAGAATGGCTCCTATTTCTGAAAGCTACTGATTCTAGCCCAGAGGTTAGCATTGGTGAGGTATCATTTGGATCTCATTCAAAGATGACCCTAAGTAGTTACTAAACCACTAAGGGACCCAAAAACTGTTATAGTAAACAATGACTTGGTTTCATTCTTTTTTTAAAATATTTTTTTAGATGTTGATGAACTTTTATTTTACTCATTTATATGTGCTGCTGAGAATTGAAGCCAGTGCATCACACATGCTAGGCAAGCGCTGTATCACTGAGCCATAACCCTAGCCCTTGGTTTCATTCTTAAAACCACATTTCCAAAAGACAATACATTTCACATGGTCAGTATACAACAGATCCAAATCTAATCTCTAGATTTCATGAGCAATAGCTACTCATGTTATTTTTCAAATTAATTCTGCTCTTGGCACATCTTTACTCACATAATTACATAAAAATTACTTCTGCTTATGTTGTCATTTGAAAATGGAAAGTACATGATTTCAAGAACATTACAACCCTGAAAATTAGTCATTTTTGTAAGAATGCTATTTTTTCTCATTGATTAAAGTTATGCCCATTTTCCAAATGTTCTAAAATGAATGTGTTTAACTTTTATGAGCAAATTGTTGCTTTGTTGTGAAATAAAGCATTCAAACAAAAAGGGTGAATAAAATGCATAAAGTTAGACAATGAACAATAAATATACATATACCCAGCATGAGATGAGAAATACACTATGAACATATTTCAAAAGCCCTATGTGTACTTTCTCTAACTGAATCCTTCCTGTCCACACCAGTAGTAACCACCTGCCTGTATTTTGTGGTAACCAGTATCTCTCCTTTCTTTATACCTACTGTGTGTGTGTGTATGTGTGTGTGTATATGCATGTATCATATACACATGTGTGTATATATGAATATGTGTGTGTGCGTGTGTATATATATATATTTATATATATATATATTTGCTTCATTTTAAACTTTATATGAATGGAATTTTGTTGTCATGTTTTCTTTTGTAACTTGCTTCTTTACCCAAAATTATGTTTGTAAGATTTATCCAGGTTGATATATGTAACTGTAGTTCATTTCTTCTCTTACATAGTGTTCTTTTGAATGATGTAACTTTTTGTCCATTTCATGTTCATGAGAACTTGGGTACTTTTCAATATTTTTATTATTATAACCTGTTCTACTATAAACTCCTGGTAAACATCTGTAAGAATTTATCAGATATCTGTAGACAGAAGAAGAATGGGCACACATTTGTTCAGCTTTACAAGGTATTTGCAAACTGATTCAAAAGTGTTAAAACTTTTCAAATTTTAATATAAAACCATTTTATATTGTCTGGCTGTGATTTAAAAAACTTATTTTGCCAGGCTCACAGGTGAAATAATGGTTTTTCATTGTGGGTATGACTTGCATTTCTATAAAAAGGTTGCAAGGCTTGCATGTTTATTTTCTGGATCTTTCATCTTTTATAAATTCAATTATTTTTTCCCATTTGTCTACATGTTTACCTTTTTCTTAGTGATCTGATATATTCAAGAAATAAATATCCATGACTATATTTCTTGTGCTGCATATATCTTCTTCTAGTTTGTAGCTTGGTTGGTCTTTTTTTAGTGGTATCTCGGAAACTAGGAGTTTTCAATTTTGATAAAATCAAATTTATTAGCCATTTCTTTTGTCATCTTTTGCTTTATGATTCTTATTTCCAAAATCTGTCCCTATCCTCTAAAGATACAGAGATATTCTTTAAATGTTCTTCTAGTAGTTTTCATTTAGCTTTTCAAATATAAGCCTTTAATCTCTCTGAGCTGATTTTGACGTATGCTGTAAGGCAAAACCTCAATTTTACTTTCTTCTGTATGGATAAGCAATAATGCCAACAACTTTTATTGAAAGCCCATTATTTCTCCACTGCTCTGCAATACCATCTCTTCTGTATGTCAAATATCTACATATGCTGCACAAATGGAAAATGGAAAAGCTCTAGGCTTTTTATAGTCATACTTTTTTTCTTCTTCTTAGTTTGGTATAAGTTTTTATTGAGAAGACTAAAAGATTTTTCTCCTTCAATCTATAAGTAAAATGAAATATTTATTTTTTCAGTATTGGGGATTGAATCCAGCCACGGCCTTCTGCATTCTAGGCAAGTGCTCTATTACCGAACTGCATCCCCAACTCTATTAAACAAAACAAAACAAAACAACAACAACAACAGGGTTTTACTAAGTTGCTCAGGCTGGTCTTGATCTTGCAATCTTGTTTCAGCCTCCTGAGTTGATGGCATTACAGGTGCATTCCACCATATCTAGCTTAATTTTTAATGTTCCATCAACTTTGCATTTCCTGGAATAAATCCAAGATAATCAGATAGATGTTTTTTGGATGAGATGAATGCTTAAATCTGGATTTTGAGTAAAACAGAGTGGCTTTCCTGATGTGGATGGGCCTTATCTGATCAGCTGAAGGCTTTAGTAACTAAAGACTGACCTCCCTGGAGTTATAAGGAATTCTGTGTCCTATAGAATTGAAATGAATACTGACTCTTCTCTAGGTTCCCAACCTGATTGCCCATGAACTTGAAATGCAATAGCAGTCTTTCCCTGGATCTGCAGCCTGCTGGCCCCTGCAGATTTTGGACTTGGCAGCCTCCATAATTGCTTGAGTCAGTTTCTTAAATAGTGTGTGTGTGTATCACACACACGCATTTACATCCTACTGGTTCTCTTTCATCTGAGAGTTCTAATACATAATGTTATCTGTTATGAACTAAATCGTGTCCCCACAAAATTCATATGTTGAAGCCCTAAACTCCCAACGTGACTGTATTTGAAGGTGGTATTTAGGAAAGGTAATTTTAGGCTAAGGGTAGGGCCCTAATCCGAAATGATGGGTGTCCTTATAATAGGAAGAGACACCAGAGAGGTTTTTTTCCTCTTCATGCACACCTAGAGAAACGGCCATCTACAAGGCAGGAAGTGGGGCCTTACCAGAAATCAACTACAGTGGCATCTTGATCTTGGGCTTTTAATCTTTGTAACTGGGAGAAAATAAACTTCTGTTATTTAAGGTACCTAGTCTGTGGCATATTGTCATGGCAGCCTTAGCAGACTAGTACACTCTGTAGATGTATCAAAATGATGCTAGTCTAAAAAAAGAATAAGTGAATATTCCTGTTTATCTATCTTCAATGAAAGCATGTGGTTTGTTTTAAGAAACTCACTAGTAAAACTGGGCCTGGGTTTTTTTGTTGTTGTTGTTTTGTTGTTTGTTTAGGCCTGGAACCCAGGCCCTCATGTATACTGAATTATAGCCCCAGACCTTCTTATTTTTATTTTGAGACAGAATATTGCTAAGTAGTTAAAGCTGGCCTCAAACTTATGATCCTCTTGCCTCTTGTGATAAAAACTTCTTTATTGACAGAAGAATTTCAAAAATATTCTGTATGAGCTTGTAAAGAATTTTGTAGCTATTGGCTACTATAAGTAGTAGATTAACCTTGTTAATTATATTGTTAAAATTTTATGTTACTGATTTTTATCTCCCTATAAATTTCTGAGTCATACATTACAATTTAACTATTATAGTAGTTTTGTTTAATTTTCCTTTATATTTCAAATTTTGATTTGTATTTTGAGACTTTGCTAATTTTATATACTGCCTTGTGTCCCTGAAGGCCAAAAGAAATTCATATATTGAAGTCTTCCCCAATGTGATGGTATCTGGAGATAGGATTTTCTGGGAGATAATCAGGTCATGAGAATGGAGTCTTAGTCCCTGTTTCCTGGCACACAATTCATATAATCCTTGGAATCTCTGAAATGATTGGTTTCTTTTCATATGCTAATGAGTTGACCCTTAGCTGGCAGCCCTTAGCTAATCTTTAAATAAATTCTCTTGAACTAAGACATATACTGAGTTTTTAAAAATTATAATTATTTGTTGGAGTTCTGTTTTGGTCTTTGTAAAATCTGCTTATTTTTAAGTCTCTCATTTATTTTTTGATAGATATAAAACATAAGTAATTTATATCACATCTGATTCTTTTGAAAAGTAAAAATTTTGAATATCTGAGTCTACTATCAGTTATTTCTGGTAGTTCTAACTAATGGTACCTTTTCTCTTCTGTTTGGTATTCTTTTTATGATGTTAAGATGCTTTTTAAGGTAAAGAATGAAAGTAGGTTCTTCTAGCATTGATTTGTATTTGTTTCTGTCAACAGCCTGGGAACATTTCCAGCCTGGACTAGTTTATATTCTTACCACCCACCTCCCACTTCAGAGTGTCTAAATTCAGGAAGAATGCAAACCCACATAGCATTTGTAATTAAAGAATTTTTCCCCCTTCTTTTATTTAGAACCAATTGTTCTTATATAATCTTTTTCTTCTATTATGACTATGCTTTCTACCCAAAAGACATTATTTTGTCTACTTTAGTGCTCTTCATAGTAAAAATATTTCTAAATTCTGGCAGTCTGGGGAGCAACTATGAATAGAAAGGTATCATATCTGAGACTTTGATGCTCAGTGGCATTGAGCACTGTGGGGTACAACATATCATGCTCTTCACAAACTCTATGGATTGACAAAATAATTTAATTTTTGGATAATTATAGCAATATTAAATTCTATGGATTAAAAAACCATACAAATCACGGGCAACAAATCCCAGTAGAATATCGAATTTCCTTATTAAGACTTTTGGTAACTGTTAGACATGTACTTCTGGTTCTCTAACTTATAAGCAAATGATTGAACTGCATTTTCTGAYACTCTTTATAATTGAGTAGGATCATGAAACTTGTTCTGGCCAGTTAATTAAGTAGGCAGTGATGTGTGTCACATAGGCAGATCATTTCAAGAGTGAGACCCTCCAGCTCTTTTTTTCCTCTGGCTTGACAACTGACAGCACTGAAATTAGTGATTACTCCATAATTTGAGTCCTTAAGTGAATATGATTAGCAAAACCATGTGTACTAGCTCATAATAATTACATATTAAATATGAGGAATAGTCTTTTAACATTTTGAGTCACTAACTATTAAGGTTGTGTCTTAGTCTTTCTTTTTTTCTGTTGCTAAAACTGAATACCACAGACTGGGAAATTTACAAGCACTGGTATTTTGCTCAGTAACTAATGAGGGCCTTTGATCTGGGTCTTGTCATGGCAGAGGGCATCACATGAGGAGACAGAGCCAGCAAGCCAGAGAGCACTTATTTTATAACAAAGCCACTCTAGTGATTACTCATTCATTCATGCTGGTAGAACCCTCATTACTTGGAGAATTAAGTTTCCAATGCATAAAATTTGGAGCTCACTAAATTCAAATGATAGTACGCTGATAGTTACTATAGCCAAACCTAGACTATCATAACTGGTGGTACAAAGAGTAATTCATTATCCAATTAAAAGTTTAAAACTCTATCCGAAGCCAGCACTAGAGCAGTTAATCAGCTAGTTTTCCCCTTAGCATACTGACTGACAAATGTTTAGAAGACTAGAATAAGAATAGATCATTCACTATTCCAGACATTTACACATTTAAAGTCAAGGGTAAATCAAATCCCAATGTCTGTTCTCATTATCTAATACTGTATAACATACCACCCTATTTTTTTTTTTTTTTTGTACTGAGAATTGAACCCAGGGGTGTTTAACCAATGAGCCACATCTCCAGCACTTTTTCATATTTTATTTAGAGACAGGGTCTCACTGAGTTGCTAAGTGCCTCGCTAAATTGCTGAGGTTGGCTTTGAACTCGCGATCCTCCTGCCTCAGCCTCCCGAGTTACTTGGGATTACAGGCATTACACTGCGCCTAGCCCACCCTAAATTTAGTGGAATAAAAAAAAATATTGCTCATGGTTCTGTGGATTGATAGCTGAGCATTTTTAGCTTGGAGTCTCTGTGATTATAGGCAATCAGCAGCTAAGTCAGGAGTCAACCAAAGGTTCAAATGAACTGGACGTCTGAGATGGCTCATTTAAATGGCTGACAGTTGTCACTGGCTGTGGGGCTGGTTCTTTGTGCTGTTTAGATTTCTTACAAGATAAGGATGGATTCTATATGGGAGCATCTTGTGTATGGGTGGCAAGAAGTGGAAGCTTTTAGGCCACTTCAAAACTGAAATGAACAGAATTCTATGGCCCAAGGAATAATAGTGCCTGCCCATATTCAAAGATTTAGAGAAATAAACTACCTCTTGATGGGAGAGTGGCAAGATCACACTGCAGAAGAGTATGTGGAAATGAAAGCTATTGTATGGCTATATTTGGGAAACACAACCTGATCCAATGGGCTTGTATGTAACTTTTTGTATCTGAAGTAGTCAGATGTTAAAATTATGAGAGACAAAACCTACTGGATTGCCTTCATGATGTATTTTGAAATAAAATACATGATACCACATATTTAAAAAAGAACTCCCTCCAAATCTTAATTACTCCTTGACATAAAACAATTGAGAGAGAAATCAATATTTTATGAAATACTATTTTACCTACATATTTTTTTAGAATATAAACTTCTAAGCCAACTTATACCTCTTTTATGATTATTCTCAGCTCTTTTTCACAAGTATGAATAGCATACAGTATGCATTTAGTAAATGTTAATGATGAGTTATGATATTGGATAACTCCTAAATTTAATAAATTTCACATTTTCACACAATTTCAAAAAACACTGAAGATTAAAACTGATGAATGAAAGTAATCTTCAGTGTACAGCATTCTCCATGAAAGTAATTTTTCCTTTTGTCTCTTATGAGTTACCAGTCTTCCCAAATTAATTGCCTGCTTATTTGTCTCTCTCTACATAGATTTAAATCTCCTATGAAGTTAGGGAACAAGTCTTCCTTATTCAGTATGGGATTAATTATGTGAAGCACAGTGCCTACAGTACAGTAGGCTCTAAATTCTACATATTAACCACATGTCTTAAACTTTTATTTCCAGTATTGCATAAGTTGTTTTTTTCTTTCATATTCAAGACTTAACTTAGAACAGACCTCACTTAAATATTTAGGAGAAGGTAGACCCCACCCTCACTATAGTCATCATGCCCCAAACACCTAAATATTTAGGTGACGTCTTACCTTAGTAAGTCTAAACCTTAGTTGTTTAAGAAAGTCCAAAAAGTCCAAATTATGATGGTAGTAAAAAAGGACAAATTGAGACTACTTAGTAATAAGATGCTTTAAAATTTACTTTTAAATTAATTACAAAAGCTGCATTAGAGGAATAATTCTAAACATAAAACCTCCCAGAGTGAAAGCATATTAATTATTTAGTGGAATCACTACTTTATGTGCTACTTTTATTTTCAAGAGCATGTTTCTATTTTGGTTACCTGCAAAGGAAGTAGAGGGCTGCAATGGTAAGTGTTACTAGAAGAACGGTCAATGCCAGGAAAGCTGCAAACAGGTTGCTTTTGCTTTGAATGCTTGAACTTGGAAGAAAAACTTCTTCACAACGAGCTCCTGTGTAATTTTCAACGCACCTATAGGGATAAAATATCAGATAAAGAATGCATCTCTGCTCCATTAGCTAATCTGGACAGCAAAAGGTAGCTTATATGAAGGAAGGAGACTAATCTTCAGATTATAACTGTGGAAGAGACATGCCCTATGATGCTCAAGGGATATAGTTACAATGAAACAAATTAGATTTCTTACAAGATAGGGGAAGATTCTATAAGGGTGCATCCCACTTAAGGGTGGTAAGAAGCGGAAGGGCTTCTAGACCAATGTTTGCTGTCTTCTTTTCCCATTTTTCTAATGGCTAAGAAACTATAAAGAAATTATATTCAGACTTCTATTTAATTTTTTTTAGTTGTCGATTAACCTTTATTTATTTATATATGGTGCTGAGAACCAAATCCAGTGCCTCACACATGCTAGGCAAGTGCTCTACCACTGAGCCATAATTCCAGCCCCTAGATTTTCTTTTGAGATAGGGTCTCGCTAGGTTACCCAGGCTGGTCTCAAACTTCCAGGCTCACGTGATCCTCCTGTCTCAGCCTCCCAAGAAGCTGCGAGTCGTGATGCCAGCAACTTGACACCTGACTTATCCTCTAGATTTTCAATGATGTGATTGTTTGAACATAACTCAAATTCATCTAAAATTAATTTTGTTGCATTTGGGTACAGGTATAGCTCTAAATGCATTTTTTTCCTCAAAATTACTAACTTGTTATTTCAATCTCATTATTAAATATTCAATACCTTACCCACTGTTTAACAATGCCTACTTGAACACCTCAAATTTGTGTAAATAATAGTATTTCTATTCTTTAATTATCTGTACATCTAATCTTGACTTCTACCACATTGCTTCAATATTGTGACTTTATAGTGTAGCTCTACTCCCTACATTACTAGTTGTCTTTGTTAGAATACTTTTTAATATTCTCATGAGCCAACTATAATATTTTAAAGCAAATTACCCTTAGCTCTCTAGGCCTATGACAAGACTGGAGGTGTAGCTCAGTAGTGGAGCACTTGCTTGGCATGTGCAAGGCCCTGGGTTTGATCTCCAGCATCACAAAAACAAAAGAAATAATACTATATGACAAAGAATGATAATCTTTGGTATTAACAAGTTCCTTTCTCCCTGTCAATGTGTTCAAAGGATTATAAAACACAAAGATTGATATAAATTAACAAGAATGACATAAGATTAATTTTATTATTTTGCAGTTGCATTTAAGATATAGTATCTTAATATAACTAATTTTTATTTATAAAGCAACCCAAGAAGTCATGGAGTAAATCTGCAGTAAACTAAATTTAGCACTAATTCTGTGTTTAAAAAAAAAGGGTGATATATTTTAAGCTGGTTTTACCAAAAACAGAAAATATTAAGTTAATTCTCCTCCTTACCTCTTTCCAGCTTAGGTAGATATTTAGAAATTTACTGTCATTTCTCTAGACTAATAAAGACACAGGTCTTAAAAGTTACACACAAACTAATCAGTAGCTTTGACAACTAATGTGATAGACTAATAAAGTAGTCTACATATAAATAAAAGGAAAGGATGTTGAGGTAGAGCACACAGGATCGACTTTAGCCAGCTGAGCAGAGGAAAGGTTCCACATGAGCCTCCAGCCGGGCCGTGTGAGGCAGCAGTGTTACTGTGGGAGCTCCCACTGCCGGAGTTGGGTTAGGTAAAGCAGCATCCATATTCTCTCAAACTACTATGAAGATCAGTTTGAGGAGGTAAACAAGGAAAAGTAAGGATGAGACCTGGGGGGCAGACTGAAATGCTTTTTAAGTGGAAATATTCTGGGGTAAAATCACAAATACTTAATGTCTATATATGCTAATTTTTCCACAGGTAAGGTCAGTTAAACAAGCACTAGGAGAAAAAAGATAAAGTGAAAAAATTTCTTTCTCCTCTCTCCACCTCCCATTTCCCAAAAGGGGAACACACACACACACACACACACACACACACACACACAGTCACAGTCAGCACACACCCTGTCACAGATAAGCAGAGGAAAGTGTCTCCCGAGTAACCAAAACATAAAATAAAAACTCTTCCACAATTTAATTATTTTTGTTTTTAAACAGAATTCAGTAGTCTGGGCATGGTAGTATAATCCCAGTGACTCAGGAGGCTGAGGAGGGAGAATTTCAAGTTTGAGACCAGCCTCAGCAACAGTGAGACCCTGTCTCAAAATAAGAAATAAAAAGGTATGGGGATGTATATCAGTGGTAGCATGCCCTGGGCTCAACTCCTAGTACCACAAGAACAAAACAAAGAATTAAGCAAGTACCAATTATTCATGCTTTCTAATTTTTTTTCTTTTAAGTTTTAACCACTGAAAGAAAATCCTGTCATAACTAAAAAAAAAAGTTCTCAATTTTTGAAATAATGTTTTAAATGGCATTCAATTTATATTCTAGAAAAATTAACTTAAGCCTTAAATAAATAAATTCTGAAATTAAGCAGTATAATTTCTTTTGATAAGAAATATTTATTTAAAAAAAACTATAAACTTATTACTTGGATTTCTTAAGGCTGTTCAAATTCAGATAAGATTAGACTTTAAGGGGTAAAAAAAAGACAAACTAGCTGATGTAACCAACATAAATCTTTCATCTGGACCATGCTCTGAGTTGGAAGGAGTCAGGAGAATGGTGTACACATAAGCCTAGAGGTCAGATCAGGGTGTAAGCAAATAGGAAAAGGCATAGGAGGGAAACCAGTCAACAAGAGGGGTTTCTCTGTCTCACTGCAGGGGCAAAGCAAACACATGCACTTGCAGGAAAAGAAATCCTGATGGTTAACTTAAATTCAAGAAAAAAGTTTTGTTATAGTTTAATGAGTCATCAGAATTTAGAGAAAGGCAAAGTCACATTTAAATATTATACTCTTATCTAAGAAGTAGAATTGGCTAACCTAAAAATGAATTTTACAATTTTAGGTATTTATTATATAAAAAAGTAAATACTGCCTACCAATGATTGTGCACAAGGAGTACACTTTTAAACTTCTGGCTCTTTTATGAAAATGTTATGACCCAGTTATAATACAAATGTAGAATTTCAAACAACTCTTTTATAGGTAAACAGGTTTAATGAAGTACAGACAGAGAACTTCTTGTACCAGCCGAGAAAAACACAGAAAGGTTGAGTTTTGTACCCACATTTACGCGAAACTAAATAGCTTTTGTCTTTATGTGAATAACTATCTTGTTAAATTACTTATATGCCTCATTACTGCATAGATTTCCAAGTAGTAAAGAGTTATGCTACCTAATGAGGTAAATACCAAGGACTAAGGGATCATGCCCATTTCCTGGCATCCTAAGATTAATGCTGGAATGTATACAAATGCTCAGTAGGATGAGCAGCTCCAAAACTCAGAATTCAGCTTATACCACCAACAATCAGACCCTAAATATTGTAGCTATGTTGAGTATACTGCAAAGTATTTCAGATTCTGCTGTGTTCAAGGTACGTTGTTAACACATTAGAGACATTTAGCATGAGTAAAAAGAACCAGGTTTTGAATCATGTGAACAGAGTGCCATTTAGTTTCAAGAACAAACACTGGACTGTAAGCTGGAAACTAGTTTCCTGACCCCACTATGGTGCTTGTTGGATATATGATCTTGGGCTACTCAAAAGTCAAAATCAAAGGAGCAACACCTGCCTTAACTATTTCATAGGGCTATTGTCAGAATCAAATAAGACAATGTCAAAAATTGTTGTGAATACTGAATCATACAAGTGAAATTGAAATGAAAGTAGTCACTTTGCAAAGGCCGTGTTTACTTAATATTGATCTGTAGGGAATAAAATGCCTAAGAAAAATTACAGCTAGAAAAGGGTAAGAGCATGGTGATCAATAAATATTCTGTTAGTAGTATTAAGTATTTCTCAGAAACAAGAAACAGAATTATAAAATAATAATAAAAGAATTCACAAGCCAAAGAAAGATTCAATGTCAGTGCCACCTCACTTCCAGCTATCCTAGAAAGAAAAATTCAAATACTGGCATATGCAAAAGGTGACTTCTAGTTAACCAATACTCTGTGTGGCAATCAAAGTTCAATCTGTAACATGTGAAAAATGAAAAACCAAAACAAAAAGAAAAAGAAAACTACCAGAAGTGTTTAAGAAAATAAACTGGCAACATGGGCTTGGATCCCTTTAATAGTTCATTCAAGGCCATAGGATAACATATATAGCCAAAATCCTATGAAACTCCTACCAGATTTGACATGCCAAAAACTCAGGGAAGACTAGATCACAACCTTTGCCTCTTTTATTAACTAGTTCCCTAAATGTAACCTTATTAAGCATTTATTATATTCTTAATAATGTCTATAGATAATTTGACTAATATTCAATCTTGCAAAAATTTTGTTGTATCTCTAGATAATTATGAGTCTAATATAAGCCTGATTAAAAAGCAAAATCCTAGACTCCTTCAAGATTGACTATTACCCAGCGAATTCATATGCTGAAATAGATTATAGATTATGTCTGAATATAAATGATGAAATAGACTGCGTAGAGAATAATCCATATTTGTCATTAGTCAGGGTATTATTTATAGTTTTAATGTGAAGGACTGTAAGTTTTTAGATTAAGTAAATTATTGTGAAAATGTGAAGTATTTTATTTACTGAAACTAGCTAAAGAACAGGAAGTAAAGGAAGCATGTCAAGAAAATGATGAGAGTCAACTACAGCAGGATAAAAATATGATTTTCATTATGGAGTTTGCATTGGCCAGTCTTCTCCAATGAATACTTTCTTAGAGAAACACCTGGAATACTACTGGCAGGGTTAACCAGAGCAATGAGATAAAATTTTGTGATTTGTTAGTTTCTTAATGTGGTCTTGTTTCTCCATATTAACAAAACAATTGATCAAGTCTCTGTCCTTCCTATTTTGTCTACCTCAAAAAAATGATCAGGGAGAAAAATCTAAAACTATTCTTTTAAAAAATTTATTTAAAAAATGATAAGGGGGCTGGGGATGT